TTTTATTTATGTGATAGGCCTGCATTTAAAATGAATATTTACCACAAATTAAAGGTATCTTATATTATTAGATATATTATTATAAAACATGCTTTAGTTAAGGAGTTCTTGATACTTCAAGTGCAAAATGATGATATAAAACCATGATAAAAATGCACTTTTAAGTACTAATCAGTGATCTCTGAAACATGGTCACCAGGTTCTGGTAATAAGACCACATAATCTTCTAGTTGTTGAAGATTGACTTTATCCACTTGGTTAGGAGTTATTATGCTCTAAATATTATCTAAAAGGGTTCTGGCACTCATTCTTTCCCTTTGAGGTTTAAACCCTGTTGAGGACTCTTGTCTTCCTTTCTTCTAAGGAGGTGGGGAAGTATCAATTCTAGACCTTGGGCCAATCCTAATGGTTATTGATTTATGGTGAGCACCATCAATTTTTAACCTAAAGGTAAAATCCCTTTCAGAGGCATTTTTTTCTTTTTTTTTTAGAAGTCATTTAAAATCTTTTAATGAAGAGATGATAAATTAAAACAAGAGGTTAATAAGAAAAGAAAAGGATGGATATTTGGTTTACCTAAACAACAAAACTCCTTCTATAATAAAATTGTCTTGTTCTAAGGACTTGAAACTTCTAAGTTAAGAAAACAAGAATTTTTTTTAGCAAAAATAAAATACACAATTTAAAGTGAATGAAGGTTTTTACATGAGCCACCCTTTTTTTTAGCAATAAATAAAGAATATATGGCATCTCATTATACTATAGAAAGGCTAAAAGCCAACAAATATTCATAACATACTATCAGGTGATATTCCCAAGATATTTGCTTCATCTTTCTTAGGAAATCTTTTCAAATCACCAAGGTTTAAATACCTTTTTTTCCAAGGAAAGACAAGATGTATCCTAAATGGTAGTCTCCCAAGACATCTCTTAAACTTTTACGTGTGATACACATTAAAAGCTTGGGGGATAACTAGTAAGATAATTATTTTTTGTGTGTTTTTTTAGACTAGAAAAGGTATAGAATAAAGCGGGTCTGATAATATGCTAAACTTGAAAACATTTGGGTTCATCAATCATCCAAACTCAATGTAAATTAGGTTTGATAATGTGTTAAATCCAAGACAATACAAGTTAGGTGAAATGTAACTTGGGGTTGATGAAATGCCAAATCCAATGAACTTGGGTCCAACAATTAGTTGAACCTAGGTAAACATTGGCTTGGTGAGATATCAAACCCAATATATTTGGGTTACCTATTAGTGAAACCCAAAGAATACATAAGTTTAACAAAATGTCAGACTCAACTTACTTGGGTTCAACTACCTACTGAACCCAAAAAAATATGAGTATAAAAAAATGTTAGATTCAAAATGTTTGGATCTAACAATCCTTGTCTGACCCAAATAAATAACAAATAAATAAAAAATAATTAACTAGCTTAGTTATTAAAAAAATACAAACAACCAAAAAAATATATTATAAAAATATAAAATTAAAAATACCTTCACCAGTAATTTTTCCAAACCATTTACTTTTTGTTTATAATAAAACTATTGTTCTTCTCACATAGAATTCGGTCATCGTATAAACTACTAATTCGATGGGAACACCATTTTTGATCACACATGTGTTATGTTATCAAAAAAGCTATAAATAGTTTAATATTCACAATTTAATCCTTCATTTTCTCTTACCTTTTTAGTTTCTGGATTTTAGAAAGAATTCGGTCATCGTATAAACTACTAATTTGATGGGAACACCATTTTTTATCACACATGTGTTGTGTTATAAAAAAAGCTATAAATAGCTTAATATTCACAATCTAATCCTTCATTTTCTCTTACCTTTTCAGTTTTTGGATTTTAAAGTAACCTATACTCTTACTTGTTAAATTCATCATTTTTTTATTTTTGATTTCATAGTTTAAGATTTATCAATATCACTTTTAGCTCCTATGAAGTTTCAGTTTTATCTCTTTTTCTGTCTAATATCAACAACAAAAAAAACTACTTTTGTATTACTTTTATTTTATTTTTTCTTAACCATCACTCATTTTCCTTTCAAATATATATATATATATATAGCATCTCACACAAACATCTAACAAATTTAATAAGCCCGCTATTTAATTTAATGGTTGGGTAGCATTGGAAACTAGAAGGGTAATATTGAAGTATTCCAAACCATTGGAGTAGAATTTGAACATTGATAGATTATAGGCTTGAGATGGAAACTTTACAGCTACAAGGAAAAACACAAGGCAATCAAAACATTACACAAGAAATCTGTCTTTTTCTTGTTTCCCTTTCCTCACGGTAAAAGATGGAACCAAAAAACTGTGCCTTTCCTTCTCTGTCTCCCTTTTGAATCGTCTTGACGTCGTTTGATTAGATCCATATGAAGATTTTCCGGTAACCTTTTTTCTTTTTCTTTTGTTTTATCAGGTAGGATTTAATACATTATAGATAATGAGTTTGAATTTAGGAATAGTTTGATTTGATGTCAATAATTAGCAAGTATTGCCACAAAAAATGTTCTGATCACACGGCCATGCTATTTTCAGATTGGATTTTGCGCAAAACCCATTTGATGAAATGCCACCAGTTTAAATAAGGGAAATAAATTGGGTGAACCCTCTCCCATGGGATGGAAGACCCACTGCATAATTTTGGTAAAAATCAAGGGCAAGGGCAGACTGCTGTTTATAAGAGAAAAATAATTGCTTCTAGTCTTAAAGCATGTCCTCTGAGTGCTTACAAGCATATAGTTTCTTCAAGTCATGGTAATGGCCCAGTCGGTCAGGTAGCAATATTTTTACTAAAAGTTGCTGCGTTAGAGACAGTGCGAAGGGTTTCGAGGTGTAAATGTCCCCATGTGTGGAATGGTCTTCAGGCTTTGCAACTTCTTTGCTATCCACCTTTTAAGTGGATTCAAAGATGGGCTCCCTTCAAGGGCTTGGTTAAAGGCGTACAGGTTTCTTACTCCTTATTCTCCGTCATCGGAATCAAATAAAATTGCTAATCTTTTGTCAATTGTTTCACACACGCACTAGTTATTTACATCCTTGGCAATAACTGAAGGCATACATGTTTGCATTTATACTGAGGATTCTTATATTAATTTTTTGTTTTTAAGTAATGTGTAGTTCAAATTATGGATGCGAGGAAATATTTACAGAGTGCACTAGCAGTGTTAAAGCCGTGTTTGCCTTTTATGTATGTGGTTCTTTTAATGAATTACAGATTAGTAAACATGGTATGAAAAGAAGCACTTGTATATAAGTAATGTGATGGAGATGGAGAGGTTTGAGAGAGTAGAATCAGGCAAATGCTTTGGGAGTTGAAGTTTTCTGCATGTGAAAATGCCAAGGGATCCATGGAAAGGATGAAGAATTGAGTGAGCAGGTGTAATTGTAGAGTGATAACTGGTTAGGATTAGGTGGTGGTTTCATGGATGATGTGATGGTGAGGGTATTGACCCTTGGTGAGAGAATTCAGAGAGAGTTCAATGTGTTTAGAATGAGCCAAGGATCTATTCATTTCCAAATGATCTTGTGGTTATATTGAAGACAAGTACTTTCACAAATAACAAAGTGATGCAAATAGGAGGAAAGGGTAATGAGGTTTGTTACATGTCAAAACCCTCAAAAATCAGAAACACAATAAGCATAGGGAGACTCTCAAAATACTTAATTTTATTAATTCATGTCTCCACTTATCAAAATATTATTACAGCAAAAATTAGAACACCCTAATAATATTGGATGGAAAAAAATAAACTAGGAAAAATATACCCTTTAAATAGGAAAAAAAACTAGAAAAGCATCATAATAGAGAAACTCCAGGGGCTCTTTCTCCCTTCAGCTATTTTCACAAACTAAAATTGCTTAAAATGTAATTATCTTCTCTCCGCACAAACTAAAATTGTTTAACCTGTAATTATCTTTTCTCTGCACTTTCTTGTTATGGTTGGTTGAGGTCACAGTGAATAATTTTCTATTCTCTTCTTGTGATCTACATGATGTTTATATTTAAATATGATTTCCTGGAGATAATTTTAGTTGCTTTCCTTCCTTGCTTATAGATGTTTTCAAGGCCATTATTAGTCCTTTCGGTTGCAACGGCTATATCTGATCAATCAAACCGCAGCGGTGAAAACTCAAATGGCACTAGTAATTCTCATGCTGATTCAGAAACATGTTCTGAGTCGCTCTCTGCACATTCTTCTTTTGAAACTAGGTAAATAGATGATAACATTTGCAATGATTTAAATATTATAATGGTGGAGATCATAAGATTTTTTTTTATTTAGTTCTTTTGTAGTTAATTTTCCCCACTTTTATGTGAAACTTTTACATTTAAACATCTTCTCACTTGTTGAACTGAAATCTTAAAATCAAACCATTGGATTCTTATAAAAATAGTTTAAATAAGCAATTTAATCATTGGTAAAGCTTGTATTGCATGTTTTTATTGTTCGGTTTATTATTACGTGAGAGATAGTTGTGAGTTCATGACTTTAAAATCAAATGCTGGGTAGTTTATGATTGTAATTTGATTTTTTTTAATGTTCAGTTTTGGGTTTATGGGGTGTTACATCTAAACAAACAGACTGAATTGTGCCTTGCTGGAATCGGTAATTGCTGATAAAAGATGGCTATATTGTGACTGTTTAGACACATAGATAATAAATTTATCGTACCTTTCAAATTTCTGTATGTTTTCTTCCTTGCATCTGTATGTGGCATTTTCATCCTTCAACTTATCCATGAAGGAATTGGTTGACTTCAGAATTATCTGCGAGCCTGCAACCTCGATTCTTGAATCTTAGTTTTGACAAAAATATGAGTTTACTGTCTGAAACAAACACAGTTTCAAGTTTTGGGTAAAGGATATCTGCACAAAAACTTCATGGAAGAGGCTGGGTTTTTGAGCTGGATTTGGCAATTGATGGCTTGGGGCTCTATTTTATATGGGCTCAGTACGTCCACAAGAAATCTGTTTTAGTGCTTTCTGTGACATGGGTATTTGTTTTGGATGTCTTTGGTATGCTTGCTAGCTGGATATTTACCTGGCTTTGCTGTTGATGTTTTTTCTTGGTCAGTCATTGTTCATTGAGGTTTAAGCTTACGATCTTATTGTCTCTCTTGAATATGGTCTGCTGGGTGTATTGTTTTTTCTTGGTCAGTCATTGTTCAATGAGGGTCAGTCATTGTTCAATGAGGTTTAAGCTTACGATCTTATTGTCTCTCTTGAATAAGGTCTGCTGGGTGTATTGTTTTTATTTCTTTTATACTTTTTTTTTGGTTATGATATTTTACTAAAGAAATTTGTTTCGGACCTTGAACTACTTCTGGAGGTTTTTTACAAGTTTATGGCTTATGGCTTTCATCTAATCTGCAGAACTTCTAGTGGGGCCTCTCAAAGTCTAGCATCTGAAAATTGGTTGATACAACTGCTTACAGAACTAGAAAATCAAGGAATCACATTACCAGAAAGGTGGTCTTTTACTTCTAATGCATCAATAATGTGGAAAGATGAGCCGAGTGGTTTTCATGTTCTGGATTCTAGTATTGTGATCTTTTTTAATAACTTTACAGAAAATTAGTTCTGGATCATTCTGCATACTAATTTATCAAATGAAATGTGACCAGGCTCTGTTCTGAAGACCTCAACATGTTCATTTATTCCATACTTATTTCTGTTCTGGAAACTGTTTTTGAGTTCATCATAAACTTGTCTTCCAAAATTGACAAGTTCTAAGCAAGTTCGGATCCCTATCTGCTTCCTGGCTTTACGCTTCAAGTTGATGTCTAAGAAAAATGTCCTATTCTCCAGTACTGAGAATGAACTTCTAGCACTATTCTTTTTCCTCTGATGTATTAAGTCTCCAAAAAATCTCGTATATGTCACCAATCACCTGTCCATTTTGCTATTTTTCTCAAAAACGTAACTTATTCGGAAACTCATTTCATAATCTTAAATACTTTGAACTTCTTGGCTTTTATTGTTGCAGCAGATCATGACATAGATGTTTATGCAGAATTAATGAGAACGAGCTCCGTAGATTTTATACTGCTGCAAATGGGGACTTTTCATGCTTTTTATTGTCAATTAAGAAGACAATCCGTTGGAGGGAGACTTACAGAATTCTTTCACAACAAGAGCTTGAAATGTGGTCAAATATGGTCTTCTGGCATGATCTTGATATGCTGAACCGACCTTGCCTCATTGTGCGGCTTGGTCTAGCTTGTTCCAACTTGCCATCTCATGAGAGACCTCGATTTGCTCAAGCAATCAGTAAGTTCCATTTCTTAGACTATGTTATTTTGCTTATTGCCATATAGGCCATTGGATGCTGGCATATGGATAATAAGGTTTTCCTCACCATGGATAACAAAGTATAACTGCCATTCCATATAAGCAGTACCTCACTTTTAAATTCTGCATTGGAGGCAAATCAATTATGTTTCTCACCATCTGAAGTTTTGCAAGCTGGCTGTTAGCTAAAACTGCCCAAATCCTACCCATAAACAGGTCTTTATGGATGAACCTGTGAACATAGATAGAATTGTGTAATCCTGACCATTGATGCTTTCGTTTATTGTCTATACTGAAGGCATTATCCTGCAAGTTCAAAAATAGTAGCTGGTTACTTGCTATGCTATAAAATGTTATTTTTCTGATGATGTAAGGATGAATTTTGAACTGATGGAATATCTCTTTTCAATTGCTTGTATTAGTTTGAGTTTCAATATAAGCTGTTAACCTTTTGGTATGTCTGCTCTATTTGTTTGTCTATTTTGACATTTTCTATGTGTTATGTCAATACCAATGGAATGGATATGCTCCAGTATCTCAGGTAGAGCATGGAGTCCAGCATTTAGTTGATGAAGATAGTCCACAGATTACAGTTATTGTGGATTGTGATGGCATATCTCCATTGAAAATCCCCATGCAAATAATGAGATCCTGTTCTACACTTCTGCAAGATAACTTCCCCAATTGTCTTGGCCATTTGCTTGTTATACGGCTTCCTCCAGTAGTTCGAGTAATTGCACAAACCTTAATTCAAGTAAGCATAATCTCCCATTAGAATCTGAACGGTTGATCTTCCTGCATTACATTTTCCATTTTTGTTGTTTTGGACTGTAGAAAGGAAGGGATTTTCTCTTTTTTGAAGTCCTAGTCATCATTTCAAGTAAAATCTATGCATGTATTCTCTCTCTTTACATGTGTAAACATGGATCTCTGGTTCTGTTCAGGTTCTGAAACCTGTCACGAGGAAGAAGCTGAGAATTGATGGGAACATGAACCACAGGGTTCTCTCTAAGTACCTTAAAACAATCCCATCATGTTTTGGAGGCAATTGCACTTGTCAGATATGCTCAGACATTCACGTTAGGCAGCAGCCTCGATCTATAAATGAGATCGACATGGCTAGGCCTTATTTTAGTGATGGTGAGGATCTTCCTTCACCTCGACAGACTAGTCAGGCTGATGTTCACGTGAGTGATAACTGGAACCACTTGTTGAGAACTCTTGTAATTGGCATTCTTATGGTGTGGCTTGTTATAGCACTCATAGCTGGAATATATGATCCCGAGAGCCGTCCCTTTTAGTCTTCTCAAGGCAGAGTAAAGCAGACCTTCTGTTTTCGTAATTTTCAGGTTGCTTATCCCTGCGAATCCTATTCCTACGGTGGCCAAAATAAATGTTTGTAAGAATAAGAATGATTTAAACTGTTGAGAAAAAATGTATTTTTTTAATCCAATTCCTTTTTTCTTATCAGTATATTTCTCTCGTGTTTAACGAAACATGTCTTTTCTACCGGTAATTGCATGAGTTCAAATGATTTAAACTAATAAAAAAAGAATTGTATTGCTTTTGTCTAAACCCTCCTTATTTTCTTGCTTTGATGAAATGTTTTTTTTTATTAGAAGCACGTATTTTTTAAATAAAAGCTTATAATAATTTAAAAAGGAAATTCCAATCACAAAAAAAAAAAAATCAAGTCGTGATGACTTTTACTTAGTAGGATGAAAAAAAAGAAGAATAAGTCATTTAAGAAAATTATATTAAAAAATTTATATTAAAAAATAAATAAAAAAGATAGTATATTCTCATGAAATTTTTTTGAAAAAACAATTGAGCATATTAGATTTATATATAAATTTTTTTGTAAAGTAATTGACAATATTACCTTAAAAGCTTTAAAATTATTTGAAAAATATAGAAAAATCAAATTGTTTTTTCTTGTTTTTTTCTTTTTTTCAAAATCATGCAAAATGACATGTTGTTCATTTGATTTTTTTTTAAATGATACAAAAAATTAAAATATAATAAAAATAAAGTTTCATGATCAAATTATAAATATTAAAAACTACTAGGATTAAAGTGAAAAATTACAAAAAAATATATACATAGAAGAAATTGTGATTTGTGAACGTGATCATGGTATAGGGTGAATTGTGTTTTAGCATATTGATAAAAAAAAAAAAATGTAAGAACGGGTTACCTTGTTAAAATTAGAGAATTTCAATAAAAGGTGGGGCGGAGATTTAAAAGTGGCATGCTCCATTATAAGATAATAATTTTTAACGAGTTCACTTGATAATTAAAAGATGTATTTTTATTTTTTTATCATTTTAAATTTATATTTAAGATCAATATTTAAAATATATACAGGTCGATTTGAAAAATATGCCTTTGAAATTAATACCCTTACTATTGAATTAAAAAAAAAATCCTAGATAATCCTAACTAAAAAACTCTGGAATTGAATATCTTATATTTATTGTTTTTGTTTCAACCCAAGTGGACATATTTTATTTTATTTTTACTAAATCAAAACATGATATAGCCGAGACATTGCATGTATGATAATATGCATAGTGTACAAGAACTTCACCGAATCAAATTACAAAACTTTACCGAATCAAATTATAGTTAAAGGGCTCTGCCGAAACAATTTGAAAATTTTAAAAATATTTGAATTGCAGGAAAAACAGTCACAATTTTACCAATTCAAAGGGGTAGGTGACTGACATGTTCTTAGTGCATTAAAATGAATGAGTGGTTATTTCGTTTCATGGACAAATTCTACACTCGTGATTGAGATTGAACTAGCGGTGTCATAAGTGAATAATTTTTGCTATTTCGTTTCATGGACAAATTCTACACTCTTGATTGAGATTGGAACTAGCGGTGTCGTAAGTCAATAATTTTTGTATAAAAAAAATTAAAAAAAATTAAGATTTAAAAATATTAAATCTTTTTACAAAGCTATACCCAGGAGTTTTGGGTGTGGCTCCAATGCCTAACCCAAAAGTAATATTTATAATATTAATAATAATATTAAACTTATATGATCCAAGTTTAAGTGGGTTTGACTGTAATACCAAACTCAATAGTCTTGGATATGGGTCTGGCTGTAAGGTCATGTCATAAAAGTGTGATAATTAAATAGATTAATTAAAAAAACCAAAAGAAAGAAAAAAAATAATGAGAAAAAAAAACTGAATTAACTGAATTAACCCTTCAAACTAGGTTAACTCATCAAACCTTGGATTCATGTTGTGAAAGTTTGATAACTAAATAGAAAGAAAAATTTGACGGGTTAACACAAAATTAACTGAGCTAACCCATCAAACTCAGGATCCGTGTCATGAAAATTTGATAACAAAATAGAAAAAAATTTGAACATTAACAAACTAAATTAAACAAAAAAATAAACGAAAAGACATCAATTTTTTCACTGTGGACTACAGTGTGTAATCTACAGTTAAAGGTATAAAAACAGCAAAAAAAAAAAACGAAAAACTAAAGGCATCAGTCGATAACTAAATAGAAAAAAAAATTAATATTGATGAACTAAATTAAATAAAAAAAATATTAAATAAAAAGAAACAATAAAAAAAAAAATATTAAAAAAAAAGAAACAATAAAAGAAAAAAACTTATAAGAAAAAAAAAACTAATGAAGAAAAAGAAAATAAAATTTAAATTAACTGGGTTAACCCGTCAAACCTGAGATCCGTGTCATGAAAGTCTAATAACTAAATAGAAAAAAATTTAATATCACCAAACTAAATTAAAAAATTAATTAAAAAAAAAAGCATCAGCCTAGTTAACCCGCCAAATCCAGTTAACCCATCACTGTGAAAGTCATAAAAAAAAGCAAAAAAAAAAAAACTAAAGGCTACCTTTTCACTGTGAACTGCATAAAATATTAAAAGATAAAATTAAAAAAACAAAACTATTGAGGAAAAAGAAAAAAATCTGAATCAACCTAGTTAACCCGCCAAATCCAGTTAACCCATCAAACTTGAAATTCGTGTCATGAAAGTGTGATAACTAAATACCAAATCCAGTTAACCCATCAAACCTGAAATTCGTGTCATGAAAGTGTGATAACTAAATAGAAAAATGATTTATTATTAATAAAAAATTAAAAAAAAAGATTAATTAAAAAGAAAAAAAGCAAAGAGAAAAAAACCTACAGAAAGAAAAAAAACTAATGAAGAAAAAGAAAACAATATGAATAAACTGGATTAACCCGTCAAACATGGGATCCATGTCATGAAAATCTGATAATTAAATAGAAAAAATTTAATATTAAGAAACTAAATTAAAAAAAAATAATTAAAAAAAGACAAAAAAAAACTAAAAGTATCAGCTTTTTTACTGTGAACTGTATTGTGCAATTCACAGTAAAAGGCTTAAAAAGAAAAAGAGAAAAAAAAAACAAAGATACACGCCACAAGTTAATTTTTTTTCTTACATAAAAAATATCAAAAAATGCTAAGATCTAAAAGTATTGGTTCCTTTTGCAAAGATATACCCAAGAGCCTTTGGTTTAGCTGCAACGCTTGACCCAAGAGTAATATTTATAATATTAATAATAATATTAAACTTACATAACTCAAGTTTAAGGGAGTCTGGCTACAACACTGAATCCAAGAGTTTTGAATGTGGGTCTGACTATAAGGTCGTGTCATAAAAGTGTAATAATTAAATAGATTAATTAAAAAAAAAAGAAAAAAACCAACAGGAAGAAAAAGACTAATGAAGAAAAAAAATTTGAATTAATTGGGTTAACCCTTCAAACCAGATTAACCCGTCATACCTGGGATTCGCGTTATGAAAGTTTGATAACTAAATAGAAAACAAATTGACGGGTTAACCCGTCAAGCCCGGGATACATGTCATGAAAGTCTGATAATTAAATAGAAAGAAATTTAACATAAAAAAACAAAACTAAACTAAACAAAAAAAATTAATTAAAAAGAAAAAAAGCAAAAAAAAAAAATTGCGTTAACTCATCAAATTTTTAAAAAAGCAAAAAAAAAATCTAAGTTAACTCGTCAAACCCGGGATCCGTGTCATGAAAGTCTGACAACAAAAAAAAAATTAACATTAACAAACTAAAATAAAAAAATTCATTAAAAGAAAAAAAAACACAAAAAAAACCCATAAAGACATAAAAAGCAAAAAAAACAAAAATAATTAAAAAAAAACAGCTTAGCGTTTCACTGTGAACTGCACAGTGAAACACCAAACAATTTTAGTATATGTTATTAATTAAAAAGAAAAGAAATTTGGATTAACTCATCAAATTAGGTTAATCCGTCAAACCCGGGATCTAACTCGTCAAATTAGGTTAACCCGTCAAACCTGGGATCTATGTTATGAAAAATTGATAACTAAATAAAAAAATTAACATTAACAAATAAAATAAAATAAAATAAATTCATTAAAAGAAAACTACACAAAGAAAAAAGCAAAAAAAAAAAACCCATAAAGGCATAGAAAATGAAAAAAATAGACAAAAAATAAAAAAATAAAAACAAAAAAAATAAGAAAAAAAAGAAAAAAATAAAAAGGAGAAGATTGCTCAGCATGAAAAAAATAGACAAAAAATAAAAAAATAAAAACAAAAAAAAAGAAAAAAAATAAAAATGAGAAGATTGCTCAGCATTTCACTGTGGACTTGCATAGTGAAACACTGAGTAGTTTTAGTTTATTGTTAATATGGCTTTAATTTTACAAACATAAATAATGTTATTGAAAAACTAGTTAATTCCATCTTTTCACCTTAATTAAACTCACCCAAGATAATTATTTTTTTTGGCAATATCAGCTAATCCTGTATTTTTATGGTCAAAATATTTTTAGTTACCTAGATGACTCTGTTCCCTGCCCACCTATTACAATTCCCTCCTCTTTTACTCATATTCGTAATCCTGAATACATTCACTTGTCCCAATAAGATCATATCATTCTAGTGCTCTCCTCTATTTCCTCACCGAATCCCTTCTTACACAAGTTGTAGGTCTCACATCTTCACGAGATGTTTGGCTCGCATTAGAGAAAACATTCTTTTTTTTATCTCATTTACTCATATTCTCAGCATGCATTTCCAACTCTCCATCCTTAAAAAAGCTTCCTTCACAATCACTGATTACTTTACAAAAGTCAAACAATTATCAGATACTTTCTCTATTATTAATCATCCTCTTGACTCCTCAGGAATCACCTCATATCTTCTTGCTGGTCTCCCCCCTCCTATAACTCTCTTGTCACCTTTATTACCATCAGACTCGAAACACATCTTTCTTGATGACTTGTATGATTGCCTTCTTACTCATGAAAATCACCTTAACCAACAAAACACCTCTACTTGATTCAGCCTACCCGCGGTTAACATTGTCACCTTCTATCGAGGTCATCATGGTCCACCTTTATATAAAGGTGGCTCTCACTACGACAATCGGTCTAGAGGCAGGGGGC